ACTGTCCGAGGTAGTGATTTGTACGTAAAAGTTAACTGCACCAAATTTTGGGTCCCGTAAGCCTATTATCTGGACTCCATTCCATGTGAAGCTCGTTGTGAAAAGCAAACCTTCACATTGCGACAAAAAGTAATTTTTGGTGTTTTATGATAAAAATGAGAAATATGTTTAAGTGATATCGTCGATTATAAAATTGAGTTCGCTAAATTTGAAGCAGATCAGTTCGTGTTTTGATAAGCTTAAGAAATGGGATACAATGCCTTATATAAAGCGTAGCAGTAGGTAGGAGGGTATTTCATAGTCAGGCTAAGCAACTTTCTTTTCTTCTTTCTTTTTTTGCTTTAATTTTCGCCACAATTGATGGGCAAAGGGCTCAACATATCATTTTCATGTGAAGACGTACTTCCCATGAAAACCCGCCTATGAGAAATTGCCACAGAACATCACGTGGTGTAATTCAAATTTATATAAGCCCTTGCTTTATATAATAACCCCTATAGATGGTGGGGTCTAAAAAAAATAGACCCATATGATCCAATTTCCGCTCCGGTTAGTTTATTTTGCCAAATTGTTACTATGGGCCAATATCAGAATACATTAATAATTAGAGGTTTTTGGCACATAGGTCTTGTATTCGTTAAGCATCCTAACGTTGGTGATGTTATCCCAAAAATGGAACTACGTCGTCCAAATTCGGCAAGGTTGACCTCTATGTCAATTTGTTATTATGAAGCAATTGTCACCATAAACTAACTCTATTTACGGAAAGATTCAATTTTCGTTGGAACGTGTGTGCGGAGGTTGAAAAGATTACCCCACCTGTTCCAAGTTTTTCCGGTCCGAAATTCTATCAATTAGCGATGTTTAGCGATGATTAGCTATGTTAAGCTCTTCTGAGTGTTACATACGCCCGCACACGTTTAATATACCTTTATATTACCAATGGCGTAGGGAATAAAAGTGATAGAAATTAATTCAATTGCCGAATACGTATGTGTGTTATATGAAAGAGGAAAAAAGACGAAATTATCTTTTGGGCCGACTTAACAACTTATTTATACCGCTTTTTTTCTTTTCTTTTCTAAATAAAATACAACAACAAAAACAACATTGCAACACAGAAATACTTAATAAACGCAATTTCATCTGTGGTGTGAGTAAAGGTGTTACTGATGGAAGTCGGCATGCAAGTGTTTGAGTGCGCACAAGTGTATTTAGTTTAGCATATGCATACGTATGGTTATGTATATATGTATGCATACGTAATGCATACGTATATATGCTTGTATGATAATAATGCATAAATTGATAACGATTTGGGCAAATGTTAAACCAATGAATTCACCAATGGTTGGTTAAAGTGAAAAAACTGTATGGTGCCAAATTTTATTTGACTGCCGTCAACACAGGCAAACGGCCGGACGGACGGGATACGAAATGAAAATGTTTAAATTTTTGTGTAAAAACCGTAAATGCAAAAAAAAAAATAAAAATAAAAAAAAAATAAAAATGGTAAGTAAATAAATAAAAAACGAAAAACGAAAAAGTAACAAACAATTTACGATTTATTAAGAGCAGCCAGCCACCAAGGAAACGACAGGAATCTGTTCAAGCTGTAGGTGGTCATTTGAATATTTTCTATGTATGCGCTCAAATATATGTAAATTTCCCATGCGCACACTCAGAAGTCAGTTAGGTAACGAAATGCCTATAACTTCTGCTTAGTATGATCAATAAATTTATGCTGCTGCTGCGGTTATATGATTCGTTCGTGGTTAGTGGTCATGGTGAGAGTTATTTGCTATTGCTGTTTACTGCTGGTGGGAATTTAAGCAATTATCTATCTATAAGAGCACTTTTTCTCTTCCCATTTATTCTAAAACGTTTTAAGGAAATAAAAATATTTGATATTTTTTTTTTTTTTTGTTTTTTTGTTTTTTTTTTTTTAAATATTTTTTACAATCTTACGAAGGAGTGACTAATGTTGTTAATGGTCGCTGTAAAGGAAAAGTCAAATTTAACATTTTCTTTAACATGTAAATCCACCCACTTCGTTTTCACTCTACTCGTTTTCAAAGTATATATCAAAAGGCAAGACAACGATGACAATAACAACCTAACATAAGAAAAAAAAAAAAAAAAAAAAAAAAAAAAAATTAAAAAGAGAAAAATATGTTAACTACCCACACTAAACATAACCTCAACTAAGCAATAAATCATAGTATTTGCTTAGCCATAGTCTAAATGCCTCCACATATTCTTTACTAAAGAGGCTAACCATTTATAAATGTCTTTACTCTCCTCTCTCTACTATCCCTCTCTTTCTTTATCTCTGTATATTTATCTCTCCTTCTCTTCTCTTTGATTTTAATTTTAAATTTTTGTTTTCTTTTTTTTTTTTTTATATTTATTTATTTTTTTTTTTAAAGGTGTTCGTATGATTAATGATCACCCACTGTGTTAGTTAGTAGAGTGTCAGAAATTTTAACAACTGAACACCAGCAACACCAGCAGCACCAGCTGCTGCCAGTTTTTCAAGGAAAGGCCAAATTGTAAACAACAACAATAACATAACTAATTAGTAAGTAATTAACAAGATGTCTGTTACTCTGTTGCTCCGTTACTTGATCGTTTGCTCTGTCTTTCAATTTTTATTTATATATAAACATACATTCAGAAATATATATATATATATATATATATATATATATATATATAAATATATATGCGTCTGTGCGAGCGAGCTTACCTTTATCCTGGCCGCCTCACTGCTAATCACATATAAGTCGACAATGCCCAGCAGGCAGTCATCACAGCGGCAGACATCATCGCCCAATACTATTGACCCCAATGACCCAATGCTGCTGGTCGAATCCAAAGAATCCGTACGCCTCAAACGACTGCCACCACTTGGGCCAGGCAACTCGTGAGCTGATGCCGATGCTGACGCTGCTGCGGCCGCGGCAGCTGCCTCTATTTTACGCGCCAATAGTTGTTCCATTAAAGTTCGCGGCCGCGATGATGAAGGAAATAGAGCCATAATTTATTATGGTTGTTCGTTTCGTTGCTAAAGCTTTTTTATAATAAGCAATTTATTTTCTTTTCATACACACATACACACACCAACAGACGCAACTTTCAGCGCTGTTTGTTTTTTTTCGTTTTCGTTTTCCTTTTCCTTCTCTCTTCTTCGTCACTTTTTAAATACGTTTGCGCCTTAAGTCTTTCGCTCGTATTTTTTAAAAGTTAATCTGAACTTTTCCTCTTTTATTCAATTTAATGTCAAAATGAAAAACAATTTTTCTCTCTTCTGACATGAACAGTTTATGTTTACTTTTTTTTTTTACTTACGACGACGGGCACACAGACGGGCAGACAGGCTAATGTATAAGCTCATTAACAAATGGGTAGACTAAGGATCGTAAAGACTAATCGTGAAATGTGATCAAATGGTGAAATAGACTAACAGCCAAAAATACTAACGAGTAGATACACATCAATACATCGAAGAAGAAACGAAAGAAAAAATAGCGGTACACGCTTAGGAGCGGATGAGTAAATAAACAATAAGGACAGACGGATGATGAAGCGGAAAGAACCTACAAAGGACAAAGACTGCGAACTGATAATTAGATAAAAGCACTTACGGCCTTACGAATAAGCAGATAGAGAAAACGGACGAATGACCGCACATTTTAAAGCAGGAGTGGGGAGGAGCGGAGAGACGACGCAGTGATTAACGGACGGTCAGACAAATCAGAACGACAGAACAAAAACCAAGGTAAGAGAAATAGGAATTAGCGAGCGAAGGGTAGATCCCCCATTTTGATCCGCCTTTCATAAACTCAGGACGTAACTGTTAAGCGGGTACCTCATCCTAGGATTGTAGTCGACAATATTTAGATTGCGGAAGGTGCTTCACTTTACTCGACGTGTTATAAGTGGAATGAGAAAATTACAAGATTTGTGTGTGTGCGTTTGTGCATGTATTCGAAACGAAAGCGAATGTGAAATTTTTCATACTTGTTTGTCGCCGAGTTAAATATAAGCATTATCTGTTCGGGAAGGATAATGTAAAATATTACAAAAAAAGCGTACAAACGAGGAGCACAGCTGGATCGGTCAGTACTGACTACACGATCAGGTAAAAAAAAGTAATGCACGTGAGGCATTGAAGAGTACAAGCGACATTTTAATAAAAGGTTTTCGGAGAAAAAATAAATGAAAACCCTACAATAAGGAGAGCTACCATTGAGTACCCTACACTGCCGGTTTTATTACAATCTACCAAATGTGACAAATGGTCGAACGGGATAGAAAAGCAATCACGTAACTGCCAGTTAAATTTCACCTTTATTTTCAGGCGTTTTTTGCTGAACAGAGAGAGAGTTAAATTTTTCACACGCGATTATTTTCTAGATCTCTTTGCAGCGCAGCGATCTAGAAAAATGTATTTTATAACGTTCGAATCACTTTGCTTAATCAAGTTTAATCATACAATACCAAAAGTTAAATTTTATTTATCAATAAGAGCTTTTTTCTTGGAAGTACGGGGAAAAGATTTCGAAAAATAGTGCTATCCCCAACGAATGAAGCCCCTATTCCCTTGGCATATATATATGAAAACTATTTCTTAAATATTCTTAAAGAAAGTTTGAGATTTTTTTTTTATACAACACGTTTTTGAAAATACGATTTTATAGGAAGAGGCAACTAAGGCGACTAAATTTCGGTGAGTTTCATGTGTGAGCCAAAGCCTGTCGCAGTGCAACAAATTCCATCGAAATATTTCAAAACTTTCAAGCTGCAGGCGAAAGGTGAAAGTATCATACATGGACACGCATTCTACGGCCAGTCTGATTACTGTATGCCGTGAAAGATGTGTCAACCGTTATTCGTTCAGGTTTTTGCAGACATTCGTATAAACTTCATATACCATAGGTGTATTGTTGTGTGATATTGTAGTGTAGGATATAAATGTATTGAAATGTTTTCTTTATATGCATGAACTTGTATCTAACAGTTCACGTCGTCCGCAAAAAATTGTACGACTCGCTTGATTTTCAAGTAAACAGTATTCAGTTCAAAGTAAATAAATAGTTTCGTCGTCGGCCTTAGTTTAAAAACAAACAAAAGAGGAAGAACAGTTAAATCGGAACACATACCTGAAATGAAACGAAAAGAAGAAAACAATTAGTTACAACAAAACTCAATATTCAAGACGTTATGTTATGAGTCGTAACTATTTGGTGAGATAACTGGTCTGTAGCAAGGCATCTATTAAAATACCATTGCTTGGTAATGACAAATAATTAAAGACGCGAAGAACTGAAAAATTTTTTTTTCTTTTACACCCTACATCACTTGTGAAACAGGATATATTAAGTTTTTGCGTGGGTATATTAAGTTGTACAACCCAAAAGGGCTTAAGATAGATCCACCTTTCATTATACCGATTGGCTGCGTGTAACTCTCTGAATCGTTCTAAGCTTTTCTGTCCGTCTCTTCTTCTAATGTCTGTCCACATATATTGTTGTGTTCAGCCTGCAGTTCGTAAATCACACAAACGAACGTAGCTGGGTCTATCTCGGCTGGTGTTGGGCACAAAAATAAAATAATTGCACCAAAGAGGTAAAATTTATCGCAAGTATCTCGATTAGTTCGATTCGCTTCTTTTTTTTCTTTTCCCATCCAATATGGATATATTCAGAAAAAGAAGAAGAAGAATAGATTCATCAAGATAAAGCCCACCAATGGCTACTACTTTTATCCCAGTCCACAAACAGTTTTCGATTGCCATCTCGAAATTTTGTCTCCTCCTTTAAGGTTAGTCGCGAAAGAAGCTGTGTTCGGATATTGGAACACCGAATCGAAACAGCGTTCATCCTTGGGTTAAAATATGATGATGTTCGTAATTTCCATAAGAATACATGGACAGACGGACGGGCAGATAATATGAGATGGTCAATCCGAACTCCTTCTGGACGTTACTAATACCCGTACTAGCTTAATATATCCTTGTACCAAATGTGATGTAGGGTACAAATACTTGGCAAAATTCGGTCGACATACATACGCATAAAACTTAAGCAAATTCTTGCCTTGCTCCAGTCTCATTGAGATTAAGAGACTAAACAATTTACACATACTCACGCCAAACAGAAGTTAGCTTAGAATATATAGAATGGAATGTATACCATACGTACATTCATACATACATACATACATACATAGACAGCTATTCGTTTTTCGAACGCTCTTCTCTCTCTTTCTCAAGATTTAATATGTTTTTTTTTAATCATTTATTATTCTATAAATTTCTGTACGCGGGAATTTTTTTTTCTTTTCGCTTGAATTGTTTAGATTTATCGTCGTTGCAATCTGTGCTCCTTTAATTGATTATAACGGTATATACCGTGACTTATGTTCTTTTTGTTGTTATCATTATTATTATTATACATTAGTTACGCGCTTCATTGATTGTCAGTTTGCTAGGCAGTTAGTTAAGCAGTCAGTCAATCATAAATCATTTATGGTTACAACAAAATGGTTCATAAATGTTCATTACATATTCGACTAATGATACTGTCGCCGATGTTAAGAAAAAAAAACAAAAAAAAAAAAACTAGTAAGAAAACTATATTTTGTCGTGACCGAATCTTCTATACTCATCCCCGACTAAAAAAAAGCAGAATAACTAAATAGAAAGAGGCAAAAAACACGGATAGCGAAGATGTTCGCAGTTTTTGTTATTTAGGCGTGTGGGTGTTGTAGGCGTGTCATTTGTAAATTTGTAAGCAATATCTTGATGTTGACAAGCCACAGATGGGCAGATGGCCGACGGACAGACGGAATTTTCTAAGGTCGATTCAGATTTTGACGCTAACCAAGAATACATATACTTTATGGAGTATCTGAAACTTCCTTCTGCACGTTGCAAACCTTCTGACAAAATTAATATATCTCCAGGCTCCGGTGTTGGGTGTAAAAACAAAATTGTGTATAAAATTTATAAATATATCGGTTAGTAGCTATTATTGCGTCCAACTAAAAGAGACATATTTCATCTAAATTATAAAAGTAATGTGCTATGTAAGCATTCTGCCATTCCACTATAATTAAGAAAACTAAGCATCACCCTCTACCTACGCATTTTCTAATAAAAAGAAAATACCTTAAGTTCATTGATTTAAAAATTCTCGAACGCATGGTATCCACAAGTTTATACCATTCGACTATCTTAGGTCTACAAATAAGTTCCCGATAATTTTTAATAAAATTCAAATTTATTAAAAATGTACTTGTTATCATCACTTGTTAATCATCATTACTTTTATCTATGGCTTGTACACTTTGCCTTTTACCCGGTAACTTGCGCGTGCTCTCACGATAGGAAACTCGCCAATCCGCGGTGAAATAGTCGTCGGCTTATTGTCGCACATATTTAACTTTGCAGAAGCGCTGATCTACCAAGAATTTTCGAAGAAAAACATACAATGCCACAAATGCTCCTTCCTGACATTCATCCCTTTTCGCTTTGATACACACTTATGAGCAACTGAAACATAAATCTTCTAAGCATCAAAGTCAAAATTGCACATACACACATTGAAGCGCAACAAATCGATTTTTATAAAACGACAAATTTCAATCCAAGGAACTCATTTATGGATCCAGTATATGCAACGAGCGCACGAAGAGAATGTCATTACTATTCTATGGTAATTTCATTTATAGAAAACCTCTTAACTGCTTCGGTCTATATTTGAGCTGGAAGTCTAACTGTAATAAAAAAGAAAGGTCTGCGCGATTTAGGTGATCGTTAAAACTTGTTACGATTATTTTATTAAGAAGCAGTATACAATAAACTTAAGAGGTTTGCGCTATAAGCTCTTAAATTTTGAAATAAAAGAAATCAATTATCAACGATCAGTTAGTTACCTTTGCTAACTGTTTTGCCGATTTAAACCGATTTATACAATTTTCTTCTTTTGATCAATTTTTTTAATTTTTATAGACCAGATTTTATATTTCTGTAAGCATTAGCTTAATAGTTCGACAGGTGGAGGGATATACAGACGGAGACTACAAATTTGCCAACTCAGACTCAACAAAAAATTGTATCCGATTACAAGCAAATTGCTGAGTGCAATGTTTTGTCTTGAAGCTTTCGCAAATTTTTCGCGAACTCACGAGACAATTTATACGATTCGACTTAGCGAGAAAGAAAATAGTTTCAAAGTGGTGACCTTGAATTAGTAATACTCCATCTATTCATTTGCTTACAATAACAACATGACATAAATAGTGGCAAAGTTAATTTTCGTTTATCGTGGATTTTTTGATTTTAACTTACAAAAAAAAAAAAAAAAGTGCAAAAGGATCAATTTAAGATCACCTGTGGGAATACGATTCTGAGGCGTTTGACAATTGCAAGAAACGAAAACGAGAAACTAAGGAACCTTCTACACAATAATCATCTACATGTCACAAACATTTCGCACACTTAGTATACCCTAAAAATGAAAAAAACTAAAGCAACAAAAACAAGAAAACAAAAAATAAACAAAAAAAAATAAATAAATAATTAACTAACTCGACTGACTTTTACAACAAGACAAATGCCACATTTTCTTTAATGTTTTTTTTTTTTTTTTTTTTTTTTTTTTTTTTTTTTTTTTGTTATTGCCTCACGAGGACGTGAAGCAATAAAACGAGCGTTTTTTTCCTTCAAACGTTTTAATTAATTTTGCTTAGAAATTACTAAAAACAACAGTAATAAAAAAAACAAAAAAAGATCCATTTCCAATTATAGAAAGACGTTTACAACCATAACATCAGGTGGCGTGCGAAAGAGTTAACTATAGCCGCCATACTATTAACAATTTAATTAATTACGATTTATAAATAGTTCGACTTTAGGAGGAGGGAAGGACGTGAGTGAGAAAACTGATGAAAATTTTTAAAATTTTTCCAATTCAATGACCAATAAATTAAGATATTAGAAAAATGTAGGAGAAAAAATGTATTTTTTTAATTTTTTCTCTTTTTTCATCTTTCGATTGTGCCTTCAATTAATTTCAGTTATTTTACAGTGCCTTATATAAGGCTGTCCATTTTGTAGTTCCGAATGTAAGTGTAAATGAAGCACACTTCTGCTGGACATTTGGATCAAATTTTTTTGATGATTCGCCATCACTTCCGAAGAACAGCATAATTCAAATGTCCTCCACATGACGTCTCAGGTGGGTTTCGATGACTAGGATCCACATCGCCACCAAACCAACACAAATTCCACACTATACAGTGGCTTTTTGGGTATTCAACGGTTGTTCAACCTTCACTTGCGGATCTCCACTGCACCAGTCCCCCCCCTGACAGTTTTGCTTGTTGAGATTTCCATTGTCGCGCGAAGAAACAAAGAAACCATGCGTCAAGTCGTGATCCAAACGGAGTTGTTCGAGTAATCGCCAACGCATTGCGTGCTCAGCCAATTTCAATTACTTCTTATGTTAATTGAATTTTGTCAGGTTGGAGACGCAATTCTTTGCCAAATGCTGTACGAGCCGTGTAATAGGCAAATTTAGATCCTCTTCGATACTTTCACTAACACTTTCGGTCGCGCATACAGTTCATCGCTGCGTGACCCTTAACCAATTTGTTCCAAATACGGTGTCTTGAAATTTCTTTCATACTCTTGCCTAAAGTGCGCTCAGACGGACGGCCCGTAAAGGTCAAAACCCAGTAAGCTTTCACTATTTTCACAGTTTTAGCGAATTTGCTAAACGATCCACGTTGTAAAATGGCAGACATCATACTAAAGATTTGATGCCCTGAATGCCGTAGATGACAGTCCCATTTTACGTACGCTGCTGTAAGGCTATAGATTGCCAAATCTGGGTCTCGAAGGGGAAAGCCCCACATAAAGCGTTTCATTTTCACTAATTTCAGAATTTAAACGATTCTCTGCCAAATTTCCGATGCATAGTACATATTACTATTACCTTTTCATATATTCAGAGGTAATAATTAAAAATGAATGAACAAATGTATAAAAAAATATTTCTTTTAATTTCATTCTACGTCCCTGAAGAGTTGTATGTTGTATGTTGGTGTCGGTAAGCGATTTAATTGTACTTGTATACTTCTTTTTTATTAAAAGCAT